AGTTCACAAAAAAAATAACTCTTGCACGCCTTGCGTGCCTATGTTTAGAAACTATGTGGAAGTCTATTCATTTTAACAGTTTAGCAGTCTTAGCAATTGGCCTCTGGCAGGTACTAAAGCAGGACAGACACCTACTTGCAATCTTTTTTAAAAGATTGCAGTTAAAAGGGTGGTGAATGGTCCTTCAAAAACCATGAGTTTTTTCTATAAATTTTGCAGGTCTTGCAGTCTCATTTCTTTAGCAGTTACTGTATGTGTGTCTGGCATTCTCGATCTTTTGCAAAGCTGTCTTGGAATCTCATTTATTTGCAAGGCTAAGAAAGTCTTGAAGTGCAATTTATTTGCACTTTTTTGTAAGTGATGTCTGAATGTCTTAGAGAGTGAACATCTCACGCTCACATTTAAAACATTTTGAAGTCTCGGTCTTGCAATTTGAAAAGTCAAAATGTATCTGGCTTTCAAAGAGAAATGCTAGTTTAATGCCTTCTTGCAAAGTCTTGCATTTACCATTCACTACCCCTAGCTAATATCAAGCAGGTTTTTACTTTAATACTCTCCTACTTGTTTTTGAGCACAAAATGTACTCTCAGGCACCATTACACTTTAAAGATTTTCTTGCCAATTACATTACATTTGAGACCTGCATGTGTTAGGTCATACTGTTGTGTCATATGTGCACATTGAAATATAAAATTATGAATAGCGCAAATGTGAGTTAAGTTTAAGGTAGATTTCCACCATCAGTTACCAAAGAAAATGAAATCCTGGGACTTTCAGGCATGATCCTAGACTAAGGCTATCCGGCAGGCTATCCAATTAAATTTGAGCCAAGTTGTCATGATTATTTTGAGATTTTGAAGCGAGTACACTATTCTGACTTGCAGGACTGCTGGTAATGCATCATATGTGATTGGGACACTGGCTGAGACAGACCTGGGAAAAAGGAGAATTGTTCACATATGCACAGACAGAGGAGACCAAGCCAAGAAAATCTTGCCAGCGCTCACCAACATGCTGGACATGTCTGAAACTGAAACTGTCATGAATGCTGCAGGAACTATGGGAACTCTGGTATGGCCATGTGAGACAAACTCATATTGAGTATCACTATGGGCACTCGACATGTGTTTGTTATCAGATTGATCAAATTCAAATACAGTAAGCTTATAGGCTGAACTCAACTCATTTATTAAGATTCTGAAGATGACTTCAGCTCAGGTTGTCGCCAACAACAGTTCTTTTCAGAACTACCATTACCCCGATGATCACACTACACAAACTGTCTATTTATTACTTACCAAGTATGAACAGAAGCTGAACCCAGGTGGTGTCTATTGTATTTAAGTTGTCTAAAATAACTCTATTGGTAGAAGTTTCTGCTAATTTTTAAATTTGCGAGGCTTGGAACATAAGTAGTAGGATTATTTATACACAACTGACAGCTCTTGTTTTCATTACTAACATCATGGCAAGTGATTGAAATGATTTGACTTAAATTTCTTGTGGTCTGAAATTTATTTTACCAGGCAGAAGATGCCGAGTGTCGCATGTGGATGCTACGGGAGGACTGTTTGGATGATGCTATGATCAAACTAACAAACTTACTATCTTCCAAAGACATGTGTACGGCTAGCAATGCTGCCTTGGTCTTAGCCAGGTACATATTAAAATGACCTTTGAAACCTGTATACATTTGTAGCTAAGACAAAAACAGTAACTTAGTTTGGACTTGACTAAAGTTCATTTTAGAATTCCAGTTAATGAAAAAAAAAATCTGAGTTTGAATTGAGTTTTCCTTGTTTAATCTCAGACTGACAATTGCTGAGGAAGGATGTGCCAGGATTTTAAACCACCGAAGTTCCACTCATACCTTAGTACAGCTATGCAAAGCATTAGGAGCTGATGAGACAGGTACAGATCAGTATTTTGGAAAAGAATGAGTCTACATGTATTAAACTTTATGTACAAGTGGAGTTAAATTATCCTTGGTTATAATAATAATTTATTATGATTTCATTCAACAACAGGAAGAGGAATGAATGCTGCATTTGCCATCGGGAGACTGTGTGATTTTGAAGCTGGATGTAAAAGGATTTTATCTTTGAAAACATCTGATTCAATGGTATTTAGGATATTATTATATTTTATGCAATGCAGTTCTATATATAATAAGTATTTTTCCATGGTTTGAAATCATTTTGAATTCAATTTGATATACATGTATCTATTAATGTTTGTTGTGGGGGGCGCGGTGGCCTCATGGTTAGTGCGCTCATCTCCGGATCGAGCGGTCCGGGTTTGAGCCCTGGCCAGGGACATTGTGTTGTGTTCTTGGGCAAGACACT